ATATTTGAAAGGGAGAAAGTAGAAGCAAAGAACACATGAGAGAGAGTATGTCAGGAAAGTAAGGGAAAAGAAGAATATTCGTGTTGTGCAAACGGCAGTAGTTCACTGAAGTGCTGTGGGCCATCTAGTTTTGAAGACTAACCGTATCCTATTCTGATGGGACTTGGTTTTTATCAATAATTATTGTCAGAAGTTATAATATTTTATCACCAACTTTGGGTTCTTAAAACACAACCACCATTTAGATTTCTGTGACCACAGATCAGACCCTTCCTAGATTTTTTGCCATTGTCCAAACAAGACGAATGCTCATAATGATGCCCTATAATATTTGCATGATGCTTGTGAAAAATAATTGTTAGAGTAAAATATTTTATGCTCTTTTCTGGTGTGAAAGATAGTACTTTAGAGGAATATGACAAATTTATTGGTATTTGTTTTAAACTTGTCTAAGCTACAAGTGACAATGGGAGACTGGAATGCTATTGGAAAAAATAGCAACAGAAAGCACAAAGTACAATCTTATAAATTATGACAGAACAAGCCTCGTACATACTTTGTACAGCTTGTAATTTATTTTATTCAAATCTACCAGAAGAATATTCTAACAAAATATTTCCATAATTGATAGATCCTGTGTGTTATTCACTTAGTCTAGTAATAACTACAATAAGTGCAAAGAAGCTATTAATATTACTTATGCTATTCTCAGATACTAAGCAGATAAAGCTATACTTTTTTATGGAACAATTTATATCCTTTTACTTAAGTTTGATTTCTGTTGTAGTATTCTGCATTTCAGACACTTCTAAAATAAAATACATTTATCCACAAAGAAGATCCAGAAGTAATTTAATTATAAAATGAATTTTATGCCTACTATGTGCCAAGCACTATGGTCTTTATATTGATTTTTAATCTTCCTTGAAAGAAAATTATAGCAGCTTCCTTAGTGTCTGTTTAAAGGTTACTAAAATACGACGGCATTAAATCATTAGAAAATAAGTCGTCTGAAAGTTTGTTAACTCCAAGAATAAAATGGTTGTATGTGTTTTTTATCTGGATTTAAATGCTTTTTCCCCTAAGATATCATCATTGGTATCAGATGCTGTTTTATGCAAATCGGAGTAGGAGTCATCTGTATTTATAAAGCTGTATTGGATTCTACTCTAGAACTGAACCTCACAGCCCACATAGAATGTCTGAGAAGGTTCCATGCTGCTGGAGGGATGTGACTTCAACATTATGAAAATTATGAGAATTAAAAACAAGTGGGACACATGAATTTTTTAAACTCAAAAATTAAAAAAATAAGTAGGAGAATGATTTCAGATCACATAAAATTCAAATAGAGGGCTCACATAGAGCATTTTCTACTCAGCTTTTATCTTTTCATTTATATTTGTAATTCTTGGTGTAACAAGGCTTCACAGATCGGAAGAATGTTGGACTAGAATTCATGAGGCCTGGATTCTAAGCCTGAAATTTCAGCTACCAGCCACTGTTGGTCAACACCAGGGGCAAGGCTTTAGACTCTGTAGAAATCATTTTTTTTTTCATGTGTAAAGTGAAAGAATTGACCAATGACTTACATTATCTCCACTAGCTATTTTAGGTATATTGCTATTATTTTATGTTTGTATTACCAATATGCTAGAGTGAGGATTTAAACTATAATTTTATAGTTAGACATAAGATTGACTCTTCCAAAGCCCTATATATTTTATTTACTTATTGTATTATTAAATTGAGTTTAAGGGCAAATTAATATCTAGCACTCTGTAAACGTGAAGATCCCTAGTAAATGAACAGGATAGAGTTTCACGTGGGTATATTTGTGGTGCAGAGTGCTGGGCTCATAGATACTCACTAAGTATTCTTTATCACTTGAATAATTGTAACTATATGACTGTCTCATATGAACCCTGGTCCATCCTGCTTTTGAATAAAACTGCCTTTTGAGGGAATAAATTATTTCATTTATTTTTACCAGTTTGCAAATATGTCAATGACGGATGACTTAGATCAGATCTGAACTGATGACCTTGAGCTAAAAGGCTTAACATCCCATTATAAAGCAACCCCCTGGGTCTTCTTTCTTCGCATTTGTGTTTTGTTTTTTTAAGCTATTATGTGCATGACTGAGTAATGTTATTTAAAGATACATTAGTGCTCTTAAGCACTTACTACTAAGTAACTCTAGCTGCTCTCTTGTTTCCAGTAGGATATATATTAAATATTTACTATGAGAATAAACAAAAACTACTTACACTATAATTGTGATTCCCTAAAATAAATTTTATCATATAATTTTTCTGAACCATCTGTCAGCTTTTAGAGATATGTTTTATCTCCAGATTAAACAGAATTATTAATATAGTAGCATTTTTGAATATTATTTCATTCAGGGAACAAGATTTTGTCATTCTTTAGCTAAGTTAGCAAAGAAAAGTCTGGAAATGTATGTTTTCCAATGAGTAAAATCAGAACCTGTAAAATTTTATTTTTGAAAGGATCCATCTATTTGTCTGTCCATTATCGATCTGTCCATTCATCCATCTGTTCATCCATCTATCCAAGAAATATTTGTTGAAAACTGCCATGGCCCAGGTACAGTTCTAGGTGCAAAGTTCTAGGAACAAAATAAAGCCTCTGTTTACGTAGGAATAATACATTCCTATAAAGCTGATTTTCAATTAATTAGACAGAGTAGGTTTCTATTCCTTGCAATATATGGAATGCTAGATGGCACACAGGGATAGTGGACATTTTGGATTTATTTCACTTTTTATTTTAGCCCTCTCTCTTCTCTCTCTCCCCTCCTAAGTCACACCTTTTATCTTTTTCCTATGTTTTTTACTTGTATTACTGTAACTTAATTCCTATTTCACTAATTTATTTTACTACTCACATCCTCTATCATTTTTTTTTTGCCTTCAACAATTATGTTTTTTTCGTCAGACAAAATTTTCTTATGTCAAATATATTTTCATTGTAATTTGATTTCATTTTATTGAAAGTATAAATTGTCTACACTTAGGAAAGTTGGGATAAAGAGGTTACTTTTTCTGTCCTCTCTTAATGTAATTGCTAATTTTCAAAGTTCGTCCAAGCATAAAAAAAGGAGAAAACTACAATAAAAATACTATATATTTTTAGCTTTTAAAAGTAAAACTTTTTTCCAAGGGCCAGCCCCATGGCTGAGTGGTTATGTTCATGTGCTCTGCCTCAGCGGCCCAGGGTTTCCCTGGTTTGGATCCTGGGCATGAACATGCACTGCTTGTCAGGCCATGTTGAGGCAGCATCCCACATGCCACAGCTAGAAGGACCCACAAGTAAAATATACAACTATGTACAGGAGGGATGTGGGGAGAAAAAGCAGAAAAAAAAAAGAAAAGATTGGCAGCAGTTAGCTCAGGCGCCAATCTTTAACAATAAATAAATAAATAAAGCTTTTTAAAAATAAAGGGACAAAAATAGAGTGGTAAAAAGTGTTTGTCTAGAGGAGGGCATTTCTTAAGATTGTCTGGGAAAAACCTTTTTCCAATTTATGTACTGATATCAGATAGCTATGTGTTTCAGAACGCTGAACTCATGTGTCTTTGCAAGTGGCCTTGAAGGCAGGCCTATTAAGTATGAGATGAAATTCGTCAATCATTTTCCATGCCATATTTCCCTGCTGAGAATGTTCCAGCCAGGGATGGATTGATACCATGTGGCATTTGATTGTTTTATTGGATAACAAATAGGAAGATTCTTCTATTTCTTCAAAGGAAATGTTTAAAATAATTTCGTTTGGACCCTCTAAGTCCACAGGCCTTACTCTTGCTCCTCTGTGCATACATGCATCACTAATAAACATTAATAATAAAATTTTCAAAGGTTGACTACTAGATATATCCAAAAAAAGTATAAAGGCCTAATTTAATTACTCAAAAATTACATGCTATATTTTGCTTTCTTTTGTGAAATTCGTGAGAGGAGACCTTAAATGATAATACTTTGCGTGACTTTGTAAATCATATAATTCTAATTTCCAAAGAAAGGTAACACGTCTTTTTAAACATTGATTTTATTCTGATAGAAACATGCATCCACTTTTTAGTATCATTCACATTCTGTTGACTGTCCTCTTTGAGATGCTTATTTAGCCCTGCATGATTTAGGTTATGGAAGCATCGCTTTCCTTTAATTATTGAGTTGCAGCACAAGTACTTCATATTTAAAGCCCTAAAGCAAATTATTGTTAGGAGAATTTACATTTTGGTTGTCATTTTTCGTATCTGTGCATTGACTCCTGCATAGTGCTTTTTACCTATCTTAACTCAACATTATATGGTGCTTAATGTCAGTTGATAATTTACATTGCAGATATACGGTCCCTACTTGCAGGCGTGTCTACATGGAGCAAAAGTATTTTAATTTAAAATCAAGAAGCTAAAGAAGTTGTTAATAAAAGTCCCAAATGACTTGCAGGAGAGAACTGTACTCAAAACAACAGATGAAAATCGTGTTCAAGTGAAGAGTGAAAGAGGATAGAATAAATTTTCCAAATACTCCCATCTCCGTTAATGTGAAATGGTTTATATCCTAACAAAGTATTAATGCTAGGATTTGTTCATACTTCAATACCTAAATTTAGTAGTACAGCCTAGTTTGTGTATATCAGGTAATGGTCTGGAACTGAATTTTGCACTAAATTAAGCAAATAAGCATTGTGGGAAAATAAATTTCCTCTTCTTCTGGACGCACAGCTGACATTTCTTAACTTCTTTTGTAGTTAGGTATGACCATTTGACTGAGTTTTTGTAACTGCAATGTGAATTGAAGTGATGTATCTAAAATATCTTGTAGAATAGATAGATTATATTATCTAACCAAAGAAATGCCACTTGTATTAAGGTAGGGTTACTACTGTAACGATTAGACACCCCCAAAGCAATGTCACTTCAAAAACCTCCCGCATGCATTCTTTTTCTGTTTCTTCCAACCTGATGCAGATAATGACAAACCACCAGGGAGTGGTGCAGCCCCCCACTTGAAAGGAGCCTGGGTCTCTAAGTTACCTCGTGGAAAAGAACCACTCAAGGATTTGTAACACCACTTTTGCACTATGTAAATAAATAATAGTTTTGTATTTTGTTTGAGACATTGTATGTTTTTTGAGGTGAGACATTGTACATTTTTTGAGTTTTTTAAATAACAATTTAGCCTACCCAGATGAACACAGCATGTTTTGGCTGGGGAGAGGTTCCCTTACAAGTTTGACTTCCTCATTTTAGTCTGCTTCTATAGTCTTAGTTCTTTACCAGCTTCTGGACTTCTAAAAGGCTTTGCCTGTGAAACATCCTGATGTGTTTTCTGGGTACTTTCCTGGTTCTTAAACGACTGTCTCACATGCTCCTGATTGACTTCTGGTAAGTGATCAATGGTCTGCTTATACTTTGATAGCTCTGCACCTCTTGACTCTTCATCTAGACTCACTCTGAACTCCACAGTAACTGCAAACTTCTCGGACTCTCCTCAGTCTAGCCAGCTTCTATATCGGGCCTGTATATTTGTATCGCATATAGCCCCACAGTCTGATTTTCCCAACTTGTCTTGGATTGAGAGTTAATGTATCATCTCATAAAGTCCTGTTGGAAGACTCGAAATGCCAGAAGCCAAGTATCTAGGAGATCGTATCTGGCTATATGAAGTTGCAGAGAGAGATTCTGTTGCAGAGAGAGATTCATAGCGTTCTGCTCAAGAGGGTAAGCTTTCAAGTCAAGTCACCTGCTTTCCAGTCCTGGCTTCCTCACTTGCTAGTTGTAAATTATAAGTTTTAAGTGACCTAGGGAAAGTTTCTGAACTTAGTTATTTCCATAATTTCTACAAATATCTGAGTTTATCATCTGTAAAATGTTATCTTTTCTATTATAATGGGATCTACTCATCTTGTGACCAGAAAAACATGCCTAAAAAACTGCTGTAGGCACTCAAGAAGCATTTGTACAAAGAGTTAAATGGATATGCAGCTCAGCATTCTTAATGATACTTAATTTGAGCCATTCTAATGATTTTAATCTTCTCTCTTATCTCCCTTTTTAAGAGTAGTGTTTACCAGCTCCTCTAATATCTTACTCAATAAATGTTTGGATAAAGTAATAACATAGTAATGAGAAAATAATATAAGAAGAATTGAAAATGCACATTTCTTTTGTTTATTGAGATATAATTGATGCATAACATTATATTGCACATTTCTATTTGTAGTTCTCAGAATTTTATTGCATCTCCTTTGGAGTCTTCCTAAATTTTTAAATAATGCTTCTAAAGTTCTTTAGGAAATTGGCATGTAATTGGTACCTGTTAGAAAGTAGGCCAACTTGCTGAGCAAAAAAACAAAAAGAAAGCAAAAGCATAACAAACACACATAAATAAGGAAACAAAAATAGCCATAAAATGGTTTGAAAGTAATAGAAGTTTATTCCTGATTCATGTACCAGTGCTGGCATGTAACAGGGTGGCGGAGTGGCCCTCCTTCAGCTAATCATGCATGGTTAACACTGGCTTTCAGGATCATCCTGAGAATTAGCTCCATTTCAGCTACTGAGAAAGGCAAATGATCACGGAAGAGCTTCCAAAGGAAGAGTTTATGCTCTAGGCCTGGAACAGCTGCATGTTACTTCTGCCCACGTTCCAACCGGCTAGCAGTCACATGGCCACAAGCAAGTTCAGTGGAGCCTTGGAACTTTCTCCAGGAACAGGAGAAGCTCCTGAATTTTGGAGAGAAGCTAACAATCTCTGTCACGAAAATCTTGTCATCTCCTAGTTCATTTTCTAATTGATTCCTGCTTCACAGAAGATTAGTCCAATCGATTTGCATTTTACTAACCTTAGATTTGTCACAGAGTTCACAACATGTGAATACAATAATCAAAGGTAGAATTATTTAAGCAAATTTATATGGTAAACAATAATGTTCTCTACCTCAATGAGAACCTATCGACATATGTTTTGATCACTGTAATCATAAATTATTAATGAGTGATATTTTAAGCATCTCCCATATTTATTGTTTAGCTATTTACAATCGTTGTAGACAATTTAAAATTGTACAATGGTTTTTAAAAACTTTTTAGATCTCCTTGTAATTTTGATGAGAGACTTCCTTGTTGCTTTTTTCGCAGTGTTACTAAAAAAATGCATTTCTAGGTGGCATTTCAATTTAGCGGAGGAATGAATTATTTAGTAAAGTTACTAGCACAAGTGTTAATCATCTGGAAGAAAATGTAGTTTGACTATTTAGTCAGCTACATTCAGAAATAAAGTTTTAAAAGATTTGAGTTTAAAAAAAACATTAAAAGACTTAGAGGAAACCCTGAGAGGGAAGCTATATCTACGTTAAAATAAAAATTTTAAAAAACCTGAATCTATGGAAAAAAACTTTATAGAAAATTATGCTATTCAATGAAGTAAAGGAAAAGATTGATGGAAAAAAATATTGCAACTCTAGGTCAGATAAATAGTTTATAATGTACAATTCTTTGAAATTAATGAAACAAAAAAATAAGCATAAGATATTTGATGGAAAAATACAAATTCAAAAAGATAGGCATTCAAAGAACAGCAAATATAAATGATCGAAAATTATAAAATCGTATTATACAACAATAATAGGGAAATCCATTGTAAAGGAAAACATCTCTTTTTTCACTTCTCAGAATTTCTAAAATTTAAGTGTGAAAATCCTTCGAGCTATGGTGCTCTAATACATTGTGGGTAGAAATGTGAATAGGTACAGATATTTGGGGATATTATCAGACATTATCTATTAAATCAAAAGATGCTTATGCTCTGTGACCCACAAACCATACTCATGAGATTCTATCTTATATAAATCAAGCTAACAATATATCATATTACAGTAACAGATACATTTATTACAGCATTGTTTCCAGTGCAAAGAAACTGGAAACAATCTGACAAAGGGAATAATCGAATATGATGTTCCATACCACGGACTACTTTGCAGCCAAAAGAAATAAGTTACAGCTTTCTCATATTTTCTCAGAAGGGTTGCAATGATGTATTTTTTGGGCGTGTAAACCAAGCAGAGAGATGTATAAAATGAACCATTTTTGTAATATAACTACTAATACATTTCTACTAAGTGCATAATTTAAAGTGTACATATTTAAATTATTACATACTTACTTTGTGGGTATTGTGGACAGATTGAATCTGTAAGCAGCATAAAAGTAAATTAAAAAGTTAAATTCATATCACTATGTTCTATTAATTTTCTTTTGCTGCACAAAAAATCACCACAAACTAAATGGCTTAAAATACCACAGTGTTACTCTCCCACAGTTTCTGAGGTTCAGTGGTTCTGCCAGGTCCTCTGCTTGGAGTCCCACTAGGCTGCAGGCAAGGTTTTGCCTGGTGCTGCACTGCCTTCAGGTGCCGGGGTTCCTTTGTGAAGGCTGTGGGCTGGCTATTAACAGAATTCAATTCCTTGTGGCTATAGGACTGAGGTCCCTCTTTGTTTTGTTTTGTTTTGCTGGCTGTCAGCTGGGGGCTCTCTCAGGTCCTAGCTGTTGCCCTTATTTCTTTGCCATGTGTTCCCATAAGCAACTCACAACATGGTGGCAGTTCGATCCTTCTTTGGGACCAGCAGGATAGTGTCTCTTTCTTTCTTTCACTGCTTCATTTTCTTTCAAAGGGTTCACCTCGTTAGGTTAGGCCACCCAAATTCTCTCTCTCTTGCTTCACCCAAAGTCAACTGATTAGTGTCCTAATCACAGAAGTAATATCTTGTCACATTCACCTATCCTGCTCGCACTCAGGGGAGGAGATTATAGAAGATGTGGACACCAGAGGACAGAAATCATGAGGACCATCTTATTCTGCTTGCTGCAACAGACCACAGCAAAAAAAGGTTTAAATCATATGATCCAACTTTGATAGCAGTGTATATATGCATCTACAATTAGATAAAAAATATGTGAAAGCATAGCCATAAATGTCATTGGTAATTGATTTGGGGTAGTGAGATTTTTCTTGTTTTTCAGATGGTTGTTTCATTGTCCCCTAAAGTTTTCTGTATAATGTAAAATTTTATTTTGCTTTATAATGAGCGTATATTATTTAAGTAATCAGAAATAGGGTATTTTTATTATTAAAGATAGAAAATAGCCCTGTGTATTATGTTTACATTTAGGTTACAAACAAATGTTTTAGGAAAGCATTTAATGAGTATAAATGAGAATATTTTGAGACACAGCCTTTGGTAAGTTGTATAATCATATAGTTATACTGCACTTATTTAATTCAGAAGAAATTGAGTTCTATCAAATTCATTTCTGCTATTTAATCATAGTAGTTCTCTTCTACATCTAAAATTCTGATCGTTACTCCGAATTAATAATTAATACATAAGATCCAATACCATTGAGTGGATTCTTAGTCTGTTTTCATATTTCTTGGAAGAAGTGTATTATTTCTTTAAAAATTTATTATTACTTTAAAATTGTGACCATTTAGTTATTGATTAACAGATGGTAATTTAAACATAGATACCTATAGAATTCTAGTTATACAATTTACCATTGATTTGCAGGTTGAGAACATTTTAGTTTGCAGTGCATATAACTTGTATCACTATAAAGACATTATACATATTAAAATTAGCCTTGTTAATATATTTAATAACATAAACATTTTAGGATAGCATGTATAGAGAGTGACCTTAATGATTAAAATAATTTTTTCTGAGATGAAAGGATTCATGTTCCTGAAGTAGCAGATATGTGGTTTATGTAAATAGAAAATTATTTGTACCAGAGCATATATATTCATGTTGTGTGGTGTTCCTAGATAGAGATAGATAGATGAATTAGCATTTAAACCAGAGTTAATGTATACATTTCAGGTGAAAATTTGGCATAGATCTTGTCTCATGTTATTTTCAACCTGCACTTAAAATTTTATTTTCTTATATGGTGATCCAGAAGAAGAAAACTGAAGGAGTGGAAGGGTTTGTGAGCATCTGTTGTTTTTATCTACTCAATAGCCATTCTTCACTCTTCTGGCAACAGAATTATAAGTTTTCCTTTGGGGAAATATCTCCCTCATTGAGATACTTTGAAGGGGCTATAAGTCCAAATGTCCAGTCCTCCACCTGTCAAGGAATGTGAGAGACCATCCTGCCACCCTGGTTAGTTCAATCAACTTCACCCTAAATACTCACTGTGGGCTAACACAAAAGCTGCAAACTGTGTAAGAGCCCACTCTCCCTGAGTCAACCCTTTGGGGTCACTGTCCATTTATTATAGCTTCTCTGGCTTTGCATTTTATGAAAAGTCAGGCTCTTCATCTCTTCCTTCAGTCACCCTATATCTATATCTCCCTTCTTGCTTATGTTTGGTAGTCCATTTTTTCTGTTATTAGTCTGATAAAAGAGGTTCTGCAGAAGATGCTTTGGGATAAATGAAATATATCAACTTGGAAAACTTGTGTACTTTGGAGTCAAAAGAGATCCAGGGATTGGTTACATTTGTCATACTGTAAGTGTGTCCCAGTCCTAAGTGAGCCTTGGTGTAGGGTTTTGCTTCCCAAAAGATTGTACATGTTAAATTCACTTTAGTCATTTGTTTCCTTATTATATATGAGGATTACTGAGTAATACTAGCCCTTCTCTATCTACAAGCATTGCAGTTATAACTTATTTGATTATATTAGTGTGCTGCTTTTTAACTATACTTCAGGATATTTAGTAATCATTCTACAGCATGACAATCTTTAAATAGGTCCCATGAGGATGCTTTCAAATGACCCGTGTTGTCTTTTACATCACATGTCATTCCTTAGATGTAAGCACTTAGTGAAAATCATGGTGCCTCATTTTATTTTAGAATATTGGAAAGAATAAGTGTTCTTTTGGAAAAAAGTTACGCATTACATCCAATGGAGAGTATTTCAGATTTTCTCAGGAGAAACAATTATTTATGCAATTCAAACAATTATTTATGCAATTAATTTTGAGCAATTTTACAATAAAGTCACATATAGCAACAATCTTATTTAAATAAGAATTAAACCATGAAGACAAGCCTTTTAAATTAATTCTTCAGTAACCCTCTACTAAATCATTGTCTTAGCCAGACTCAACTATAGAAAGGAATACGAACTTTTCAGTTTGTAGTCCAGGAAGATATATCTGCTAACAAGAGAGTGTTAACTTTGTATGTTATGAAAGAAAGATGAGACAAGGACGTCCTGTCCTAGAAATTGTAGAATAACTTATTTTCATAACACCGTATCTCTTCCTTTCAATATTTTCTTTTAGAGTTTCTCATAAGTCATTGAATAGGTTGATTAAAGAAAGGAATTGATGTCAAGATTGATGTGATCTAATTCAAGTCCAGACTTTTATTGATATATTTAATCTTGATTTAAGGTCCTATTCTAATATGTAGAACATTCCTGCTTGCATTTTTTTGAGAAAAATATCTTTTCAAGAATTTATCAATCACAAAATAATAAATAAGAAAATTTGTGTGGAGAAAGGAAAATGGATATATCAATACACTTTTAAAAGTCTGTTTGCTTTGGGAGGCATAAAAACTCTATTTTATCCTTTTCATTTCCTCCATCTTTTTCTTTGCTGAAGAAGATTTGCCCTGAGCTAACATCTGTGCCAGTCTTCTTCTATTTTGTGTGTTGGTTGCCGCCACAAGATGGCCACTGATGAGTGGTGTAAGTCCGCACCTGGAAACTGAGACCTGGCTGCCAAAGCAGAGTGTGCTGAACTTAATCACTAGGCCATGGGGACAGCCCCCTCCAACTTCTACTTATATCTTATCTCAAAGATTACACAAGAAGCAAGAAGTTAAAGGAGGAACAGAGGAGCATTAGCAAAAATGGTTTAATATATTTCAAAATTTAAATCAATATTTAAATTTGTGTCCTTAACCTTCAGTTGTAAAATGAGAAGGCAAGAATAGTCTATGTAATACAAATCAACAGTTTTTAAAGCACAAATGTTATCATATTCAGTCATTTTCCATGATCCTGTACTGAAACCTCCTAGAATGACAGTGCTTTTAGAAATCAGTGCACAAAACAAGAGATAAAGAACAAATACTAAGTAAACACAGGTAATAAGAAGGTATGGACATTTTGAGAACTCATTGTAGTGACACTTCTTCACTCTGTGTAACTGAGTCAATTTTCTCAGTGGGTTTAATATTTACAGAGTTATATTAATCATTTGGAATTCCAGTATAATAAAATATAATAATGAGAAATGATAAGTCTGCAAAATGGCAGGGTGAGCTGACCCAGGTTTCTCTCCCCTCCAAAATACAACAAAAGATTGGAAGAACTGAATTTCAGAGAATAAACATAATGCCAGCTCGTTAGAGACCTACAATACCAAGAAGGCAGAGATCATAACCTTGCTTACACCCTCAGAGGCGCTGGAACGGTAGGAGAGAACATCGCTCCCTCCCCTAGAGTCTGCGATCGAAGGAGCGTGGGAGGGGCCGCGCGACCAGGGGATCATCCAGGACTCCTGCCGCTGATCCAGTGGAGACCCGCTGATGGGGGGAAGCTTCCGTCCGTGGGGACCCTATAAATCAAGGGCCTTGGGAGACCAGAGAACAGAACCGATCTGAACCCAGAACGGCGCGTGTGAGTAACAGCCCCTCCCCCCTAACAAAGCCAGTGGGCGCAGCCATCTTGCCCCAAGGCAGAGAGCTAACACGCCGCTCTCGACCCCCATCTAGTGGCGACAGGCTGTAACTGCAACTGAATTCTACCACCATGAGAAAAAAACCGCTCCTCTACCATCCAGCAATTTATAAAAGCCCCAGACCAGAAGAAAAACAATAAAAACACAGAATTGAGTCCTGAGGACTTGGAATTAGGTAAACTAAGTGATAATGAATTCAGAGCAGCTATAATCAAAAAACTCAATGAGGTAGAGAGAAAGATAGAGAAACAAGCCGAGTTCTGGAGTTACTTCACAAAAGAGATTGAAATCATAAAGAAGAATCAAACAGAATTACTTGAGATGAAAAACACAATGGACCAGATAAAACAGAATACGGATTCCCTGAATGCCCGTGTAGACAACATAGAGGAGCAAATCAGCATAATCGAGGACAGACAGGCTGAATGGCACCAGACAGAGGAAGAAAGAGAACTAAGAATTAAAAAAAATGAAGAAAATCTCCAAGAGTTAATGGATTCAATGAGGAGTAAGAACATAAGGATCATAGGAATTCCCGAGGATATGGAAAAGGAAAATGGAGCAGAAAGTGTGTTTAACGAAATTATTGAAGAGAACTTCTCAAATCTAGGGATCAACGGAGAAATGTGTGTAGAGGAGGGTTTCAGATCTCCTGGATTTGTCAATGTAAAAAGACCCACCGCAAGGCACATAATAGTAAAGTTGGCAAATAGGAATGATAAGGAAAGAATACTTAGGGAAGTAAGAAAAAAAAAGAGAATAACCTATAAAGGAGCCCCTATCAGACTGTCAGCGGATTTCTCTACAGAAACCTTACAAGCTAGGAGAGAATGGGGTGATATATTCAAAGCTTTAAAGGATAAAAACCTTCAGCCAAGAATACTCTATCCAGCAAGAATTTCCTTCAGATATGAGGGAGAAATTAAATCTTTTCCAGACAAACAAAAGTTAAGGGAATTTGTAACTAAAAGCCCTCCATTACAAGAAATCCTCAAGAAGGCTCTCATACTTGAAAAAAGAAAAAAGGGAGAAAGGGGACACAAGCCACAGACTAGGGAGACTGATGGATAGAACCAGAACAGGATAGCAAATATTCAACTATAGCATTAGGTTAAAAATAAGGAAACTACCAAAACAAGGACGATCTTAGCACTCTAACTACAAATTAATAAGACGAGTTGGAATAAAAAATGAAAATAATTATTTAGGAGGGGAAGAGCAAAGGGTCTAAATCAGTATTGGTCAAGTAAGTAAGA